CGAGAGAAGAATCAATGTCTTTTCACTGTGGTGCTGGAGAAGAGGTCTGGATAACCCATGGACTGCCTACAGTACAAACAAGTTTGCTCTGGAGGAAGAACAAGCCGAGTGCTTCTCAGAGGCGAGGACAGCGGCATTTGGTCTCACATATGCTGGGTGTGTTGTCAGGAGGGGCCAGTCTCTGGAAAAGAGCATCATGCTGGGAAAGGTGAAGACTCAAAGATAAAGACCCTCAACACGACGAATTGACACATTCACCGCAACAAAGGGTTCGAGCCTGGTGGAGAGCGTGAGGCTGGCACAGGGCAGGCTGTGACCTGTTGTTCATATGGTCCTGTGACTGGTAGTGAGCCCAGCGGCACATCATCAACAACTGTCATTTACCATTAAACATTCGTGGTTACGCTGCACCTGACTTGGCTACACAGACATGAGGTAAGAAGGCAAACCCTGCCCACAGCTTAGATCGTAGACATACTTCACGTAAGACAGGTATGATGAGGAGTGCAGGCCCCCACAAGAACTGCTCATGCACATTCCAGGTGGCTGGGTCCTGGTAGAACCTGGAAAACAAGAGGAGAGTCCAGGAAGACTGGTGATGCATCCACAGGAACACCGGTGTAACAGCAGGTTGTAGGGTGAAATTACGATCCAATGGACTCACTCGTGCAGCAGCGGCCGGGCCACGGTGTCCCCGCGGGTGTGAGCGCGGTAGAAGAGCGTGTACAGGTAGGGCAGCAAGGTGTACCGGATGTTCAGGTAGTGCCTGGAGGAGTTGAGCAGCAGGGAGTCATTGCCGAAGGAAGCGGGGTCCTGGTCCTGGAAGAAAAGATGGACATTCACTGTGCATTTTCTCTTCTGATATTTTTTATGGGATGAAACTAATCATATACTTCAACTTAGACAATATCAATGCAGTTCTAGAAACAAAGGTTCCTGGGTCTAATACCTTTTCCAATGAGAATTTGTAAGCAAATGAAGCCTTTAACTTTGACTCAAGGTCACCTTATGAGAGGTCTGGTGTGAAAGAAGCCTCAAAGAAGTTTCAGTAGAGATGAAGGGGCCAGAGTGGCTGGGCTCTGTTTCCTTCAAAATACCTCCATTGTGTTTCCCATATGGAGACTCCCTGACACTATCTCCTGGTAGGGAGGTCTGGTGTCCTAGTGGTAAGGAGCTATACTCCAATCCCAAAGGCCCATGGTTCAAATTCACCAGCTGCTCCATGGGAGAAAGAGGGGAATCTCCTCACATGTGATTAAACTGCCTCTGAAAACCCTGGGGTGGGGGTGGGACGTTAGAAATGAGTTCTAACTCTGTGGCACACAGCAATAACAAGAGTAATAATAGCAGATGGGTAGAGGGGAAACGGAATGGAGTGATGAAAAAGAGAAGAATAAGAAAAAGAGGAGGATAAGATGGAGGATGAAAGGAGAAGCTGAAGGAGGAGAAAGAGAAGGAGAATGAGAATAAAAGAAGAATAGGTATAAAGGAAGAAGAAGAAGAAGAAGAAGAAGAAGAAGAAGAAGAAGAAGAAGAAGAAGAAGAAGAAGAAGAAGA